CACCCGCCAATCACAAGTCACAACAACCTACGACGATGACGATGACGACGACGACAGCAACGACAACAACAATAATAAACTAGAGCAGCTCGGAGAGTGCAGACCTCCCGCCAAAAGCAGCTCAATTCTTCTCACTGTGAAAAATTTAATTAATTAATAGAATTACGGAGTTAAATAGCAATAATTGGATCCGCATCACACCAAAAATGTAATTCAATTCTAAGTTACGCCATTCTGCTGCCTCTCGCTGAAGATTTTAGTCAATTAATTTATTAATTAATTAATGGGAATCCGCGCAATCGACCCACCAAACATGTAATCAAGTTCTAACGTTACGCCATATTTCTTGACCTATCCTGAAAATTTAAATCTTAATTAATTCAATTAATTGGATCCGCGATCACACACCAAAATCATCTAGCCATCTAAGTTAGCCGATTCTGGACCTTATCCTGAAATTTTTTGACATCCGTCCATACTTCTTCAGCGGTACATGTGTTTCTGGAAATAAAGGACATTATAAAAAAAAAGTTGTTGCATGACAACCTAGGTAGTTAGTTACATGACATATCAGGTAGTTGTATGATGGTTAAGTAAACAGCTGGTGTTCAGCTGAGTCAATCAGGTTCTACACTCCACAACCCGTCCACGTCAAATTATAATTGACACCAGAAACAATAGCTGCCTTTTTTAACAACAGACCGTGAGCGATATAGTATGCAGGTGGAACACATGTGCGCGAGATGCCAGCGTTACCATGGTTACAGCATCACTACATGGCCATCATGGTGCGGTGTCACAACTTCTCCAGCCAAAACCTGTGTTGGCATAACCCTCACCCTCACGCTTTTAGACCAAGTCTGCCACCGTTCTTAAACAGCATACGCCTTCGTTCGCATACTAAACCTGAGTCGGTTACATTCGGCCGTCCACGACGACAACAGCCGCGTTCCCTGCCGTCACCGTTTCTTCGTGGCTGCCGGCAGATTCTTGTTGTTGGTGTTAGCAGCGGCGGTTTTCTGCGGGGACGGCTTCCTTGCAGCGGTAGAGAGGCTTGCAGGTTTCGCCTGCTTACTGAGCGGACTGCTGCTGGGGCTCTTGCCCCTGATGCCAGCTGGTACTGATGCTGCTGATGCCATGCCTCCTCCTCCTGCTGCTGCTGCTGCTGCTGCCGCTGCCCTCGTGTTGCTTACAGACGTCTGAATAATGAGGAATCAATAAATATCAATTACATATCTATATTGCACAGTATCGACAGCTGATTTGCTCACACATAATCTATCAACACGCACGCACGCACGCACGCACGCACGCACGCACATATATAGCGTTACTAGTGTATAATACAAGTTTATAGCTACAAACGCGCACGTGTCACCACAGCGATGGCCACCCCACGCACGCGCGACCCTGGTGACCATGACCCCGGCGACCGCCGACAAATGCGACCCACCGTCTGCTTCGTCGGCTTCGTCCCGACCCTCGAGCTGCTCTTCCTCGTCGCCGCGGCAACGCTCGCGCCCGCCGGATGCAGAAACCTGCTGTTCGTCCTCCCGGCGGCCATCTTGGTCTCCGTTTGCTTCGCCGGCCCGCGTGCTCCCTGCTCCGCCATGCACGGCCTCTCCGCGTTCGCCGGCAGGGAGCGCTTGGAGGGTGCGCCGTCGGCGGCGCCGCCGTACGAGCGGATCGAGAGGCTGCTCGTGATTCGCTCGCACACGCTCTCGCGCGCCATGCTGGCCGACGACCCGCGCGACATCGCGAGGCCGTGCACGAGCCCCGACGGCGTCTTGCTCGGGCTGCGCTTGTCGTTACCGTGGCGACTGCCCGCCGCTTCGTCGGAGCCTGCGTCCTCGGCGATCTGAAACGGCAGACGACCCGGGTGGAATGACGTCGTGCCGAGAGCAGAAGTAGTCGAAATTGATTCATTGTCAGAACGGGGAATGTTCTATTCAATACAGTACGATATATACACATGTGTCGTTACTGACACAATTAACGTAGTTTTCACTGATACGTCGTTCCAAAGCAAGCTGCTGCTGCGCGACGCGATTCCACGTACCAGCGTCGTCCGACATCACCTGAGCGCCCGTATTACCCTATTATCGTCAGAATGGGGAATAATCTATCTATTCAACACATATACAGTATGATATATACGTGTTGCGTCATCTGACGTCACCTGCGTGCCCGTATTACCCGCGCGCTCACCGGCGCATTCAGGGATTCCTTCGGCAGCCGTTACCTTCAGCAGGCCGGACTCCCTGCGCGGCTGCTCGGCCACGTCTAGGCTGAGTCTCCTGGCGACCGACAGCGTGCTGGCGCTGGCTAGGGACGAGGTGTCGTCGTAGAGCTCGTCCTTCCACTGCTTCATCATCTCGAGAACATTGGTCGGCTGCGATGCGTGGCCTGCCGCGGCGCCCTGCGACAACACACGAGACGCGCCATCTTGAGTGAGGTTCGGACGCGCGCGAAGTAACGGCCATCTTGGCCAGGATCTAATGCGCGTGGTGAGGTGGCCGCCATCTTGGACAGGATCATATGCATAAACGCGGTGGCCATCCTGGCCAGGACCATACCTGTTCAGTGTGGCAGTGGCCATCTTAGCCGGGATCGGATGCATGCCCAAGACCAGACCCGCCGACCAGACCCCCCTAACACATAGCAACCGTTATCAGACATGTTATGAGCCATATGTAAGGTTGTACATAGTTGTATTTAGTTGCGTAGAGGTGTGGGAAACCAGTCCGCGGTGCTGCCTCCCTATATATACTCACGGTTATCCAAGCATGGTCCATGACTTCTTTAGCTGTTAGGCGGTGGGCAGGATTCACTTTCAACATTCCATGGATGCAGCTCTTTGCTGAAATATCATTAGCAACAATATCACTGGTGGGCTGCATATCCACTGGAGATTGTGGAATCTCTGGTTGCTGTCGCCACAGCCTGTTGTACTAGTTGTGACTGTACAGATGCAAAACAAGGAAAGAGTACTGTAGGAAGCAGGGCAGGTCGAGGGAAGGCCGAGAAGTAAATAGGGGAGGAGAGTAAGTGAGGGGGAAGAGAGGAGAGTGATATTATCAGGAGTACATGAATCAGAAATTTAATGAGATGAAATTGGACTGAATGACAATTGGATCTCTAATTCATGTACTCCTGATATTATCATAATACATCGTCCATTTTTAATTATTCAGGTCCTATTTCCTCCTTCCTCACATTTTCCGTGTCCCTCTTCTCTCGTTACACCAGAAGGGCACACAATTTCTAACGTGCTACGATAATTTATGTTAGTAACCTTCTTCGCTGATGTCTACCCAGGCCGCTGAGGAGAAGTCAAGGTCACCTTGTTTAATAGCACTGTACAGCGCTTCCTCGTCCTTCGCTTGAAATGGCGGTGAACCATTGATACTATAGCGACAAAGAATGATATATAACATTCATGTGCAAAACTCACGTGGTTAAATAGTTTACGATCAACAACACCACGGGTTGAACACATGTCAAATAGAGACATTGAAGAGCTGGCTCTAGACGGCTCAGATCCACTCTATTACTCTACATATGTAGATTCTACACATTGAGCAATAGAGTGAGCTATAAAGTTAGCTATAGAGCTATTCACTCTATAGAGTGAGCTATAGAGTTAGCTATATAGAGTTATTTACTCTATAGAGCGAGTTATAAATTTAGCTATAGAGCTAGTCACTCTATAGAGTGAGCTATAGAGTTAGCTATAACGAGTTAGTTATGTAATAACTTAGTTATACATTGCTACATGACTCTTACATCATATAGGTGATCACTCCCATTGCCCACACATCACACTGCTGACTGTAAGTCTTCTTACTGTCAATAATCTCTGGGGCTGTAAATAAAATAGTCTACATGTTACTTCTCCTCTTTGCTGTCCATTCTCAAATTATAAGGTAGCCTCAATGACATATTTATTAGATGCATATATCTGCTTTCCAGATAAATTAGCCGACGTGACAGATTTGTAAATTAGCAGTCGGGAATTCGAAATTCATGGAATTTAATTGTTAGCATTTGGCAGCATGAAGAATAAAACTTAATACTCGGATGATTCTCCTAACTTACACATGTACATGGGAGTACCACAGAAGGTCTGCATCATGTTGTCTTGTCCAACTCCACCCATCACAACCGACAAACCAAAATCCGTAACCTGGACAGAATGATTTCACATTGCAGTGTTACGACAAAACCACATGCATGCTGCTAAGTGGCATTTAATTTATGATTTATCTTGTTCTCACAATCCCATGATCACATGGCCTAGAAATCATGCACAGGAACTGCTAGCAGACCTAATTCACAGCATGGAATTACATAGAGCTATTAAACTTGATCACAGCCAGTGATACTGCATGCATTACAGTTATCCGGGATGTTATGTATTATTGTAAGTATATAACATTGCTGACATCGCCACCTTCAAGTACAACTGATCATCCTTATCTTTAGGATTTTCTGCCAGAAGAATGTTCTCCAGCTTTAGATCTCGATGTACAATGTCTGAAGCATAATAACACATAACATCAACCATACTTAACGAATCATTCGCCTATGCATTTTACAACCAAACGTGCTTGAGAAATCACATCTATATATAGAGTGCACAACTCTCTATGAGGGACAATTGTTTTCATTTCTCTCGAGTGGCAGTTATACAGTCTAATCGCGTCTATAAAACAGTCACCTATCTCTAAAGGTTTCTTGAAGTTTTCTATAAAACAGTCACCTATCTCTATCTAAATGACACGTTTGAAGTTTTCTTTGAGTGATCCTTATATATGGGTTTGATTGTTTAAATGAATCTCTAAGAGCAGTGCATCAGCTCTCACTTTATGCCAGCCTTACCCGCCTTGTGTAGATAGACAATGGCACTAGCGAGCCGCCGCAAGACAGTCTTTGCCTCGTCTTCATTCAGGTGTGTTCTACTTCTGTGCAAATCTGCCAATTCCCCCTTATCAGCCAACTCTATAACAAGATACATTTTCTGAAACAGGCAATTAAGATGTTAAGTTAGTCGCAACAGCACCCACATATCACAAGAAAATTAGTATATCTTCGGAACACCCCATAATACAATTGTAGAGCTTCAGCCCATAGGAATGTAACAATTATTCATAGATATTGGGCAGTTCTGTCACTCATCAAACTTAATAAGCATTCTGTTTTGTCAAGCATACTGGCGCCCCCCTAGTGTTAATGAGAGTAGAGCACAAAGAAGCCCAGAGCTCAGACCATAAGAGTGCAGTATATAAACGTACAAGCAATGAACTATAACGTTGCAACATTTATGCACTTATTCGTTTATTCCTATACAGTTGAACCATACAGACTATGTTGACAAACGTTGCCAACGGCCAAATAAAATCCTAAGAAGACCCAGGGTATATATGTATATATATATGCTATAGGGTATATTTTGGGTACAGGGAGCAAAATTTGCTCTAGTCTAAGTGGTTTTTATTATGCTTCTTCATGTTATTATTATATTTCAGGGTTTAGTTCTGGCTACGGTTGGTTTCAGATACATATAGCATGGACCCAGGAGTTTCTCCCAATTTTGTTGTAAATGACAATACATGATGAGCTTTCGTACACTCCAAGGCAGCAGCGAGTGAAAATGAGTATATACATATGTATAAATAGAATTTAAATTGGTTGATAAAGTTGCGCTCATTATAATAGTGTCAATGATTTACACATCTTCTATCATGTTAATATTTGTTATTATAGTTTTATTTGTTATGGTTCAACACTCTTGGCAATTTATAAATGGGAATTAAATAACTGCAAGTACCATGTATCTTGGGAAGGAATATGCAGCAAAAAGCAAATATAAATATAACAAGAACATACAATTTACATCCTAATAATCATTAGCATAATCATTATCATGATAGTTGACACTATCATATGTATAATTGAGAATTGGGGGCTTTGATATTTCAATTGCATTTTAATAATATTTTGAGCTCATAGATGACACTACCGTCCAGTGGACGATTCTACTGTGCACGTGTTTTTTGGTATTGAATTCCCATAGGATGGTAAAGACCTCAATTTAGGGTATGATATAGATATATTTTACAATGTATATTAGCGTCAAATAGTTTACAACAAAATATAACGGCGTTGGCTATCAAAACCAATTATAACCGTTTAAATAATAAGAATCATGTAAAGCTCTCATGTTATGTCAGGATGGCCGAGCGGTCTAAGGCGCTGCGTTCAGGTCGCAGTCTGGTTCTCCAGGCGTGGGTTCGAATCCCACTTCTGACAAATACCTTTATTTTACTTATTTTATTTTTTTTATTTGAATAGGAAAACTAAGTTTGATACTTCAACAGCCTATTACGTTAACAATTCCCCTAGTGAAAATACTATGAATTAGTGGTGTTCCGATTAATCGAGTTCGTCGAACCTTACTCGTTTGGGCTGCCGAGTTGATTAATCGACTAGAAAATTGGACGACCGAGTACAACTCAAACCTTTTTTTTTCTTTTTCTTTTTTTTAATTTCCAGATTTGACACAAGTACATACATTTACACATATACTAGTAAACACGGTGCAGTGTAAATTTTCAAGGAACTAAGCGACTTTGTTTCCTGAAAATCAAGCCTAATCCTAAATTTTCCTACATCTTTTCAACTTATTTCCTAAATTAAAGCATTTAAAAAAATTCCAGGTACCCTTTTTTTGGTTCATATTATGAACAACTTATGGTTAAAAGTTTAGGTCCCAACTCTGCTGTTTCTGAGAAATAACAAAAAAAGTTAAACAAATAAACAAACATTTTTGTATAAATTCACAATTTTTGCCGTCACTTCATTTAGCGATGAATTTTTAATAAAAAATTTTCATCAATAGCATAGAGAGACATCTCTCTAAATGGATATGAGTTTGATTGAATTTGATGAGCAGTTATGTTGCAATGCCCTTTAGAGTGTTACCTGTCCGTAACCCTAACAGTATCCTTAATTTACTTACCATTAAATACAAATTTTGCACAAGGGAGAAATAGTGATCCGCTAGGGAACGGCTCTGATTGGCTAATTTTGTCTCTTATTTATTTTTATTATTTTGGGCTAATTTTGTTTTATTTTAGAATTAGGGTTAGGGTTAGGGTTAGGATTAGAGTTAGGGTTAGGGTTAGGGTTAATTAATTTCTATATCCACAACACACTAATAATGCGCCATCTAGCGGATCACTATCTCTGCCCTGAGACCTACTTATTAAATACTAGCTACACATACAATAATGTCAATATTCCTTCGCAATACACCGGTTGTGTCGACGATGACGCGGCGTCACTGCATCGTCGCCGCAATCTAAAATGATCGATGATTAATCGATCATCGGTCGTTTTGTAAAACCGATGATCGATCATGAAATTTGGACCGATCTCCAACACTACTATGAATACTTCACACGTCATCCGTGTCTAGTACTAGGCATACATGTCAACCCCTTCGGATGCCCACCTGTATAACCTTCTGGAAAAATCCATAAAATCCATAAGAAATCCTTAGGATCTACAAATCACAACAAAATGAGTTTAATATTAACATTAAGTTAAACATACGGTTGATGTTCTTTTTTCTCTTTACTTGTGTGCACGTGTTCATGCGTTATTTTATCGTTCTCTACACAAAACAGCATGCAATAAATTTTGAGCTAAGTTTGTTTATAAATCCGTATGATTTTAGGTGTACACCCGTTAGCAATTTAAATGGGTGAAAATCCGTAAAACTTACGGACATTCCGTATAGGTTGACATGTATGACTAGGTGGCATAACGACATTCAATTAACTGGCTCTTTCCAATCTTGTGTTGTGAACTAATGAACAATTGTTAGAAGCAATTGAGCCAAACGGTGAATTGATATTACAAATTCTACATACATACCTCAGGTGTTTCCAAAATTTCTTCCAGGTGGATTATGTGCTCATGCTGCACCTTCTTCAAGATTGAAACTTCTCTCTCCAGCAGTTTTACTCCTGAACTTCCAGCCTGCTCAGATGGCAACAACAACAACAACAAATATTACCAAACTGTAAAATAAAACACAAAATAGTTGAGCAAATAATTTACACTGCTGATATTGCCTATAATTAGAAAAAGAACACAGATGGGTAAGTGGTATACATGTCAGTAAAGAAGTTAATTAATGGCAACAAAAATCACCAAATTAATGGCCAGTGCAGGGTAAAGGAATATGGATCTACAAACATGTTCACGACTCTAAATATATATATATTAGGATTTGGCTGAAAATTTTACTGGAATATAACTCGCATTATCCCGAAAATTGTGAATGTGTAAAAGTGCAATGCCACTGTGCATCTCGATTGAGATACCGGCACACTAATAAAGTTGGTCTATTACCTTTTCTTTGTTAATGATTTTTACAGCCCACATTTGTCCAGAGGCTAAGCTCACGGCTTCACATACAACTCCAAAGCTGCCTTGTCCGAGTTTCTTCCCAAACTCATACAATTGATGTATCTTCTCCTTTTCCAAACGGCAATGTGGGATTACTCTGTTGGATCGATCGATTGATTTTGGGGACTTCTCAGCCATTTTTTATTTTATTCAGTAAAAGGATAAATTATTCTGTAACATGGAAAAATGATGCACATGATGTAGATAATTACAAATATTTTTAAGCCAAATGTCACAATGACTGTGACAACGAGTGCATGCAGTGCAGTCATACTCTGTGCAGTGGCGGATACAGGATTTCAAGGAGGGGGTGAAAGCAGGTGGGATCGAGGCATGGGGGTCCTCCCCCAGAAAATTTTGAAAATGTAGACCGCAGGAGATGGTATTTGAGGCACTTTTGAGTACATGTACAGCTTTCAATCTGACTACGACAATTCTCTTTTTAGTAGAACAATTCTTGCTCTTGCAGCGCGGCATTGATTGATGTACAGGGGGAAGGCATTGTTTAGGTCGCATTTATTATTGAATGTGTAGAGGGTGACCACCGCTGGGATGAGTGCGACAGCAAAACTCTTTCTTGGAATTGTGAAAAAGCTGCAAAAGGGTTGCAACCTGCCTTGCCTCTCAATTACATAGTCGCTATACTATTATACTTGACAATAATTAATTGGTATATGTGTAAAAATATAGTTAGTTCAACAGAGTTGTACTAGTAGCTAACAGCTAGAAGTAGTAACATGATAATAGCTAGCCAAAATAGCTCAATTGAACTCATTGGAAAAGAAGTTGAGAGTGGCATATTAATTATTATGCCATATATATTATATCATGTGAGCTGGTGCTATGTATGACTGAACTTCATCATTCATGTACAAGAAGGTAAATGGCATTGACAGCACTCTACAAATATTATCCCCCAATTCATTCGACACTACACATGCAGCCAAGATTCAGACAAATATAATACTGGATACTCTGGATACTCATTACAATTACTCGCACACAGAACCGAAATCCGTTGCAGTTGGCGTTGTTTATCGTGTGCCAAAACCCGACCAGGCTGTGTGACTAACGTCAATACACCGGTATACGGTATTCTAACCCTGGTACCGTTTCTTGGAGCTACGTGTGCCACTGGCACTGCTACAACTACAACTACAAGTTCAACAACAACAGTGTTGTCAACAGTACAAACAGTGTCAGTATTTTGGTTGACCAAACTACGATTGCAATAAAAACGGATGTTCAGAAATAAACATACCTTTACTGTTATTCCATGAGATGTCTGAGCCGCCGAGCCGAATTCAGTTTGCCGAGCCTAAAATGACAAATAAATATTCATGGGCGCTGCCATCTTGGTCCACGCTGTTGCTACGCAACATAAAAACATCGGCATCGGCTTTTGTGTTGGCTTACAAATTACTTCATTTCAGATTCATTTATTATAATATTGATTTATCAATCTGATCAAAATTGACCAATCTCCTTCCTCTTTATAGTCTCACGAATTTTAAACAATATTTTTGATTGTTAGATGAGTTTAGAAATCGCTGCTGGGTACTATCGCTGAGAGGACCGTCTATGTCCCCCAGGGTACTGCCGGAACGTACCCTGGGTACGGTCCGGTATACCGGAACGTACCCTGGTACCAGAGCATATATAAATCAACGTGATTTATATGCTCTGCTGGTACTATCTAATATGCCGGACCGTACCCCGCCTACTCCACTAACGAGTCTAGGGAGTCGCCTACGCCTACTCCCTAACCCTAACCCTAACCCTAACCCTAACCATATCAGATAGTTACCAGGGTAAGTTGCGGTATACCGGAACCGTACCAGATACATTTTCCGGCAGTACCTAGGGCCATAGCCCCTATGAGCGGTTCTATCAGCCTGTGGTG